TATTCTCCAAACAGGAGCCTACTTGGCAGTTGCTTTCATGCCAAGGATGTCATACCTGATGTTTTCCCAGCATTGCTCTGACATCATAATACTTAGTAAACAAAGTCATCAACTAACCACATAAAACTTACAAAATTCAGCAGATAGACTATTTGAGGAAAGTTAAGGACATGAAGTGGGGTCTCCCCAAGAGTGTAGGACTAGACACAATTCTAGGTGATCTCAAGGAATTACTTTACCCCAAAAATGTATTTACCAAAGAAGACGTTCTGTGAAAGCTTCTGGAAAAATAATAAATTTGCACACATTAAGTTATCCAGGGAGCCAGGCATGGGGACAGTCACCTTTAATCCCAGTACTTAGGAGACAGAAGCAAGCAATCTATTGAGTTTGGAGTTAGCCTGGAACAGAGAAAGTTCCAGGACAGCCAGAGCTACACAAAGAAGCCTTGCCTCAAAAAAAAAAAAAAAAAAAAAAAAAAAAAATTATCTGGGGAACTTTAATGAAAAAAAAAAAAAAAAGCCCAGTTCTGGTTGGCCAGGAGGCAGAGGTGGAGGACCCTTGGGAAAACTGTATAGCTGAGGCTAGCCAAATTTGTAAACTCTGGGTTCAGCAAAGGACCCTGCCTCAGTACGATAAAGGTGGAAAGGAACCAAGAGAGGCAATATCAGGCCTACACACACATGCACATGTGAACACACAATTTTTTTTATAAAGCCAAATTAAAGAGGTTTCCATAGCCAAAGATGAAATATACTGAGCATCAAATTCTATAACCCTGTGGACTGTTTAATATTAAATGTTTAAATCCACAAATGCGCTGTAATTCTTTAAATAAATTATGGCCTAGCACTACAAATGTAGCAACACCAAGTATAAGCAAGGTATGGATTCCATGCCAAGTACTAAACAAAAACTGACTGCCAACACAGGAAGTAATATAGGTAGTTGATTACTGTGAAAAAGGTCAGTAAGGGTAAGAAGTCAAACACTCAGCCCACAGTTTTCTTTTAAAAGATTTATTTTTAATTGTGTGTGAGTGGCACACATATGTGTGGGTACCCATGGAGGCATCAGAGCCTCTAGATCTGGAGTTACAGTGGGTGCTGGGAACCGAACTTCATTCTCTGGAAAAGCAGCAAGAACTATGAACTGCTGAACCATCTCTCCAGCCCCTCATCCTGCATTTCTTGTAAGAACTGAATCTAGGGGCTGGAGAGATGGCTCAGCAGGTAAGACGACTGGCTGTGTAAGCATCAGGAACTGAATTAAAAACCCCAGCATGCAGGTAAAGAGCTGAACATAACTACACACACATTTGTAACCACAGTGCTGTGGTGAGGTGGAAACAGGAAGACTCCTGGGGCTTGCTGGCAAGCCAGCTTAGCCTATTTGGTGAGTTCCCGACTGGTGAAAGGCCTTGTCTCACAATCCTAAAATGGAGGGCTGGATTGCTCAGTGGTTAAAAACACTTATTGTTCTAGAAGACAACCCAGGTTCAATTTCAAACCTACATGGTAGCTCATTATTATTCATGACCTCAGTTCCAGGGGAGTCAACATCTTCTTCTGACCTTCAGAGGTGCCAGGAATACACGTAGATATAAAGGCAGGCAAAACATATACACACCCATGAAGATAAATTTAAAGACAAATTTTTGTTCAACAAGATGGGGAAATCAAGCTGCTTGAGCAGTAAAGGTGCTTGCCTCCAAGCCTTGAAACCTGAATTCCATCTCCAGTGCTCACACAGTGGAAGAACCAACTTCTTCAAGCTGTCCTCGGACAGACACACACACACACACACACACACACACACACACACACACAGAGTAAGAAAATGTATTTTTTATTTTTTTAAAAAAAGTTGGATGGCCACCAGAGGAACAACAGGCAAGGTTGTCCTCTGGTGTCCACACATTATTTTTGATTGTTATTATGATTCAGTCAGAGAAATACACAACTGTTATGTTTAGTATATAAAGCCCTGGTCCCTGCCTGGCTTTGAAATACACAGAAGGTCACCCAGATGTCCAGTTCAGCCCCCACCATCACTGGGCTTGGGTGGCAGGAGGCCACCAGCATTGCCTAACCTGTCTGAGATCAGGAACAGAAAGAACTGACTCTGTACACAGACTCCAGCTTTGCTTACTGTGGGCATCTCAGATAAAGCTTGCACTTGCTTAACATGGACTTGTGGACACAGCTAATAAATAGGGATGGGGTTTGCTGAATAAAAATTCAATAAAGGGAGCTGAAGAAGTTGCTCAGTGGCTAACTGATGTTCTTGTAGAGGACCTGGGTTCAATTCCCAGCATCCATACAGTCTGCACCACTGAACCCAAGGGATCTGGTGCATTCTTCTGGCCTCCATGGGCAACAAGACATGCATTCGGTGCACACACATATATTCAAAGCACGCATAAACATAGTAATAATGGGAGGGAGCTGGAGAGGTTGCTCAGTGGTCTACTCTTCCAGAGGACCCAGGTTTAATTCCAAGCAAGCATCTACATGGTGGCTCACAACCATCTGTAACCCTAGCCCTCGGGGATCTGAGGTTACCAGGTACACACATCGTATGCAGACACATATGCAGACAAAACACTCATATGCATAAAATTAATTAAAACATTCTAAGTTTGATGGTGCTGATGAAATGGCTTTTAGATAAAGGTACTTGCTACCAAGCCTGAGTAGAGTCTAATCTGTTAGTCTCATAATTAGATAGACCAGATCTTCTGAGTAAATCAAGAATGTGGGGAGAAAGGGAGGGGAGAAAAACATGAGGGAATGGGACAGTTGAGTTGGGGGGAGGGATGAAGAGGGAGAGTAATGAAAGAGGTATCTTGATAGAGGGAACCATTATGGGGTTAGGAAGAAGCCCGGTGCTAGGGAAATTCCCAGGAATCCACAAGGAAATTGTTTTTAATGTACAGACAGCCTAACTTTGCTGAGCCGGCACACACATGAAAAATGGGGTTCACCTCACCCTTGCTGTGCTAGTTCTGTCAACCTGACAGTCTAGTCTCCTGGGAAGTTTCAATTAGCCACAGTTTAGATCAGATTGGCTTGTGGTAATATCTGTGAGGAACTGTCTTAATTGACATGGGACAATGCAGGCCACGGTGGCCCACAGTGTTCCCTGATCAGGGAATCTGGGCCTGTGTTGAATGAGAAGAGGCTGAATACAGTAGGCACAAGCATGCGTGTATTTCTCTTTTTTTGTTTCTCAAGACAGGATTTCAAGACTGGATACTCTGGAACTCACTCTGTAGACCAGGCTGGCCTCAAATTTATTTGCTCTTTATTTTTAAGATTTGTAAAAAAAAAAAAAAAAAAATTCTCTATGTGTGTAGTCAGGTACGAAAAGATCAACAAAGACCACTGGATCCCCTGGAGCTGGAGTTAGAGGTGACTTTGAGTCACTCAATATGGGAGCTGGGACTCAAATTCTGCTCCTCTGAGAGCAGTTGTCTACCACAGTCACCTCTCCAGCCCTCTCTCATCATGACTGTGTGATGTGACCAAGAGCTTCAAGTTCCTACTGCAACTTCCCCACAATAACTGACTATAAACTGGAGCTGCAACCCAAAATAAATCCCCTTTCCCTTATGGTTTTTGGTCATTTGATCACAGTAACAGAAATGAAAATAGAAGAGTTGGTATTCATGTCCCTAAATGTCTCCGATGACAAGAGTCCAAACGGTGGAGGAGAGGGACTATTCATAAGGTAGGTAGAAAATGTAACGCAGAGCAAGAAGCTGATGGGGCTTAAGCCCCACCCTGAACCCCAGCATTTGGGAAGCAAAGGCAGTCAGATTTCTGAGTTGGAGACCAGCCTGGTCTACTTAGTGAGACCATATCTTAAAAACACAACCAACAAAAATTCATTAGACCCAGAGGATTCATGGGCTATCCATGGACTCTGAAGATCAAGTTCATCCACTAAGATGTGAGTCCTACAAGCTCAAAGATTTCTTAAAAATGTTATTTACATGTATATATGTCTTTACGTGGGTATGTACTTGTGTGCAGAGACCAGAAGAGGTTGTCTGAGCTGGAGTTACAGAAGTATTGAGCCATTCAATGTGGGTGATGGGAATCAACTCAGGTCTTCTGCAAGAGCAGCATGCCCTCTTAGTAGCTGAACAATCTCTCCAGCCTGTAAAGATTTACTTTTAATAATGTTCATATTCATGGGAGGTCTGTGTATAGCAGTGAAGATGCCTGAAGGGGCTAGCCTATGAGAGTGTGTTGGATCCCCTGGAGCTGCAGTTACAGCCTGGTGTAAGGTGCCAGAAGCAAACCTGGGTCTTCTGCAAGAGTAGCAACTCTCTAACTGTGGGGACATCTCTTTCTAGCCCAAGCTCAGTGATGGCCAGTTTGATTCACTGATGCATCCTAAGCTTACAGAAATGCTCCTACCCGCACTGTAGGACCTCAATAAACACTTAGAAGATGAATGAGAAGAGAACAAAGAGAATAGCCAGCCTGCTGGAGATGGGGAGTCCCAGCTACTCCAGAGGATACAGTGCAAGGGCTCAGGGCTTGCATGGGCTACAAAACAATTCCAAAGCCAGCCGGAGCAATTTATCAAACCTTGCCTCAAAATTAATTTTTTGTTTTTTGTTTTATGAGACAGGGTTTCTCTGTATTGTTTTGGAGCATGTCCTGGAACTAGCTCTGTAGACCAGGCTGGCCTTGAACTCACAGAGATCCGTCTGCCTCTGCTTCTGGAGTGCTGGGATTAAAGGTGTGTACCACCAATGCCCGGCCTCAAAATTAATTTCTAAACAAGGAGAGGTAGAGCCGGGGATATAGCTCACTGACAAGATGCTTGCTTAGCATGTTTCAGGTCATACGTTCAATCCCCAGCACCACACACACACACACCCATCACTCTCACTCTCAGAGGTCTTATATATACCAAAATGCCATCAAATACTGTCCAATACTAGTTTGTCTTTCAGATCAATTCATCAGGTGTTTACAGGGAAGTTACTAATTGTTTTAAAATATTTCCATGTTTATTCAATGATCAGTAGCAAAATATTAATTTCCTAGTAGCTGTGGTTACAGTGTGCAGGAGTAATGGGATGGGGACACTTTACAGATGAGGGTAGGATGTTCTAGTCCACAACAATAAGGCTGCCAAGAGAGCAAAATAAACAAGGCTGCATGAGAGAAGTCCCCACCTGAGGTGGAGAGTGTGTGAGGTCCCACACAGGGACAGGCTAGCACAGGATGTGGCACTTGCAACACACGTGCTTTGGGCTACTTACAAACTACTGCGTCAGCTTTGCTCACAAGCTCCAAGATCTCACTGGTCCCAATCACCATGGCATTTCTCAGAGCCAGGAGCACCATGGGTGCTTAATAAATATTTGCAAATGAAAACAGACGGAGGGAGGGCAGGCCTGTGCTAACCATCTGCAGGCAAGAGAGAGCTCTCCAAAAATTGAACTTCAAGGCTGGTCACATACCTCAGTCAGCAGAGTAGCCCACCTGACATGCACAAAGCCTGGGTCTCATCTCCAAAACAGGTAAAGCAGGCATGGTGGCACATTCCTGTAGTCCCAGCACTGGGAAGATGGAGGCGGGAGGATGAGAAGTTCAAGATCATCTTCAGCTACATAGCTAATCTGAGACCAACTTAGATAATATGAGACTTTATCTCAAAAAGAAAAGAAAAATGAGCTTCAAGCTGACAATACACAACAAAATTCTACCCTTACCTCCAAACTTGACAGGAGGTGGGTTCCAAACCCCACTGTTGGGAGGAAAAAACCAAAACCCCAAACACCGAAGCTCAGGATTGTGTTTCCCTACAACAGGTGAAGGAAAGAAACTGGGCTCTCTGGGAGCTCTCCATACACCAGGCTCTGCCCTCCTCCTGCTTGAACACATTCTGCTGTCCCTCACTGGGCACTGCCCAGGCCACTTGGTATAACACGAGTCATCCCCGAGACAGAGCTGTCCCCACGGTAAGCTCACTGCACCGGGGGCTCCTGGCGATGCTGGGTCTTCTGGTGCCGGTTGAGGATGGACCTCTGGTTGAAGCTGCGGCCGCAGGCAGGGCAGTGGTAGGGCTTCTCGCCGGTGTGGATCCTCTGGTGCTGCCCCAGCCAC